AAGAGCCTGCCGTAGCGGTCATTACGGAGCCTTCTGGGGAAACAACTGACTTCCTGGGTTCTGTCTGCTTGCTTTCTGGCCCTCGACCTGGCCTTTGGGGTTTACTGGCTCTGAACTATTCTGAAATGCAGCCGTTCTTCCTGGGGCTGTCACGGAGACGCTGCTGCTTTTTGCCGTGGGTAAATGAAATTTCTTTGGCGCCTCTAAATAGCAGCCTGTTGGAGGCTGTGCCCTTGAGGAAGCCCCACTTCACATTTCTGCTAAAACACGGAAGAACTGCGGAGAGTTAATCACAACACATGACTTTAAGGTCAGAATGAATCGCTTTTGTTTAGCCTGATTCTCTGTTAGCGTTACAGATGTTGAACGTAAGTGTAACGTGCCAGGCCCACGATTTCTGGCAAGACAGGCTGTTCCCTTTCCAGGGCTACTCTGGAATGTGAATCCTGACTCCGTATGTGGCAACGGTACCACGAGGGCACTTACGCTTGTGCAGTCAACTTCGCGTTTCCATTTAATTTCCTCCAGCTGCTGCCTCTAATACATGGCTTGCTCTGGTAAACGTTGCTTCCCTGTTGCAATGACCTTGTATATCTCATGTTAGGCTACAAGGAAAAATAAATGCTAGCTTAAATTTCTTCTCTTCACAGCATTCGTGACAATATACATGAGAATTTTTTTGTTTCTAGTTCTGTTAGTGCCAACATAGTTTGTCCCTTTTGCCATACGTTTAAGCATACATGTCAGTAAAGATAGGAGATAACAAATACAAATTGGACAGGAGAGGAGTACAAATCGCCAAAGACATTCCGATCTAGCCTGATAGCCGCAGCCAGAATGTGTACGCGAGTATGGTACAACTGAAGTAGTGTAAAGTCTGTTTACGCTTAGAAGTCTTCTGATTCTTAGTCACAGAGGCATGGAAAATCCTAGAGAGGAGGGTAAGACTGGGAGGCTGTGATTTTTCTGCCATGAAGTTATCAATACTGATATGATTGGGGATTTTGTCCGTGGTGCTCAGCTAGGTAAGAGCTCAAGCTGAGATGCCATGCCAGTTTTGAAGCTTAATGCCACTTTGGAATATTCAGATGTTAGAAAGTGTAATTTTTTGACTGTGCTGTGTAGACTTGTTGCTATGGTGAATTTTGTCTTTAATGTGCATTTCAATTATGCTTTTTAAAAACTGTCAGGCACGCAGAAGGCAACGGTACAAAACCTCCAGATGTACAAGGTGGAAGAACGAAATTCACCACAGTCTGAATGGAAGCAGGGACGCTAACGCAAAGTAGTTTCGGAGACGTTACCTAAAATGTGTAAAGATACTGTCCACCCAACTGTTTGTGATTTTTCACTTTGCTTTCCACGAATCTCAATCCTTAGCCTATCATCTATTTAGTTAGAGTTTCTGCAACCTTATTTCAAATGTCTAGTATGTAAGGACTCGGTTATTGTGCAGTAACTTCCCCTCACCCCCAGGCAAGGCCGGAGAGCGTGGCGCACTGCGAAGCACGGCTGTCCTGGGTTTACCTTGTGCTAAGAATACCCACATGAGGTATTAGTACACAGAATGTTAGAGAGCAGCTTGGCAAAGCTGTAGTTACTCTTGTTTCCTTTGGATTTTTATACTAGTTCGAGAGAGGAAATTTAAAGCAATATGACTTTAAAGTGCAGGTTTGCTGCAATAGGGTTAACTTTTAAAAATTCCATTTATGTAGTAAAATAGCATCTTTTTGTTTTATATTCTTTCAGGTTTCTCGATTGCTAGGTGCTTTCAAAAACCAAAAACAGGTGACCAGAAGTTTTGGTAGTGCTGTGAGTATGACAGTACCGTTTTTTTCTTTTAAGAAGTTTCTCAAGAAAGGGGTTCAGAAATTTACTTTTATAAGATTGCTGTTGTTATGTTTACTTTCTCAAAAAATGAGGCCTAAATAAGTGAACATATATGCTCTTAATGCCATGCTACATTTATATTGGTGAATCACTCCCTTTGGCAATTGCACGTTAAAGTGTAAGTGATAATACAAAAGGCTCTAGCAGAAGATAAAAGTGGCTTTCAAACTTTTCACAAAATGTGGACATAAGCCAGTCTTCTGAAACTCGTCTGGAAATGGGAAAATACTGGGCAAAGCAGAAAGATTGTTGAGAAGCTTCTCATTTTCTTTATTTTGCAGACTGTCCTCTAAGCACTAGATTTACTTTACTGCTGCTTTTAGAATACCTTGCATCTAAAGTTCTACCTTTTCAAGGCCCTCTTTAAAGTAATTTAGACACTCATTGTGTATTTCCTTGTAGATGTTTTACCCTCTTTATGTGTATGTGTTTGAAGTGCCCGTGGGCCACCTTCTTTTCCAGTGAAGGCGGCCTTGAAAAGTGCTCAGGCCGAAGCTGGGCTCAGCACCACTGCATGCACCCTTAGGCAGGACTTTATTTTAATAAAGAGGAACTGTGGCTTTTAATTATGAGTTTTGTAGAACAGCAGGTAGAACAGCTAGAAGAGAAACTGAAGAGTCACTCATATCTTATACAGAATAAAAAGGTTTAGGTGAGGCACCTCCGGTTCTGTTCATACCACATTACTGCTTCAGATGAAAGGTTCTGTGGCTCAGGTGGCGTGCTGCTGCGCTGTGACACAACAACGCAAGACAGCACAAAACTAATCTTGAGGCATTCCGTCAGTTACGTGCTTGCTCACCAGCAGCGTTCTTTTGTCTGAAGCTCTGCTGCTTTTGTTGTGCACAGTGAATTTCTTTGGCTCAAATTAGTTAAAAAAAAATCAGTCGATATATATTGAAATTCTGACTATTTTGTGTGGAGAAGGATGGAAATATATCTAGTTGATTCTGATTGGGGCTTTGCAAATCCTGCTGCATCTGAGCTGCCTATTTTGTAGTAATAATGAGTCCTTACAAAACTGTTGGAAATCTTTAAATAAAACAAAAAGAGCTGGGCAACGTACGATTAGAATAGCAACTGTAACTTCTTTTTTTATCAAAGCAGAGTACTTTCTTCCCCTGTTACTCAGTGAGCCTGGGCTGTGCAATTTATTTCATCTGTTTGAAGATGATAAAAGAAACAAGACAGGAGAACATTATGGGAGAAAAGTAATTTGGTATTGTTAAAAATGGGTCTGAGATTTTTTAGGAAGTCACTTGAGAAGTTTAGATATGCATGAGGTTGTTTGGGTTTTTTTTTAAGGTGAATGTCTCTTTTAATAAATTTAATCTTTTCTAGCATGTGTCAGTATTATGCAGTATGGTCATAATATTGGAGACACGGGTAACAGAGCCATAACTAGGCAATATCATCTCCTCCCCAAATTTCAAGAAGAAAGCATGCTGAGATCGTTAATTTCAAGGAGTACTGAGCAGGAACCTGCCTTTCAGGTTAAACCTCTGTGTTTTGAAATAAGAATAGATAGAGGCAGATTTTTAAACAATTCTCAAAACATTTGCACGCTCCCTTTGAAAGCAAGCTAGTCATTCTCACTTCTGTCCAGGGCTGCTATTCTTCATAGCGAATATTTGGCAACTGAAACTTTATTTTCTTTTCTTGTAGTTACTTGATTCCTACAACACATGAAAATGTTTTCTACATAGAAAACAAGCATTCATTTGTTGTACTACTGATATTTCTTTACCTAGGTACAAACAGTAACTTTAATCCCAGGAGATGGCATAGGACCTGAGATTTCTGCTGCTGTCATGAAGATCTTTGATGCTGCCAAAGTAAGTCATATTTGTCTTGCTGTTAAGTGTCGTAAGTGTAACTACAACAACAAGCATTAACTAAGTGTATTAAAAATGTTTTCTCTTTAACTTCCAAAGGATCAAGTAATGTTTAAGCTATTAAAACTTCTTGACAACAGAAAGAATTTGAAGCTTCAGCGAATAGAAGATAGGATTGCAGTATCAAGGCAGGACTTGAAACTGTTAGCTGGCAGAGGAGTAGAGAGTTGAGAGCAAATCCTGTGTTTAATTTTTGGAAAGATGAACTCAATATATCACATGAAATCATCTTGTTGATGTAGCAATCCTGAACAACTGATGGAGGATGTTCTTTCATCCATTGTGACTTCCAGAGCAGATGAAAGCGTGTGGAAAAGGACCGGCTTATTCTTAGAAATCAGACTGCTGCGCTGCCAAACACATTCACTTAAGTGATATGAAAACTAAGTATACCCAAGAACTGTTTTACTACCTGAGGAACTTCACCAGAATTTGTCTGATTTCCTTGAGAGCAAATACAGCTCTTCAGGAAAGATGCCTGTTAAATGGTTCCACATTAGTAACAGCACCGAGGCATATTCCCTTTCTATTACAACTATCTGACGTAGATTTGGAAATTTGTGTGTGAGTGCAAGTTTGCATTACTTGATCTGATCGGTTTGTTTTAAAGGGGATTCTCTAGTATGTTATGCTTAGATTGGTTCTGTTTGCTTATGAAAGCCCTCCTATCTTTTCCTTTATGATCCTTCCTGATGACATGAATGGGTGGCAGCCTGTCTCCACTTAGAAGATTCCCGTGGTGAATGCAAATTCAGAAAGCATTGTGGAACATTTGCAGATTTTCAGTTAGAGAACAGATCTGTATCTATGTTATGTACTGTCTTCCAGCCAGTGTGGATGATGAGTTCTCAATGATTTCAGTTTTACTGTGTCCCTTGTCTACAAGGAACTCGACAGCTCTAAGAGCCTGAAAGAAGTAGTATGTATATTGCAATTCTAATGATTTCTGTGTATACAACGCCTAGGGAGGCATCTTGTGGTATTCAATTTTATGAGGATATGTTGTTCATACTATTTCATTTTTGCTTCCTTAATTACATTTAATTTTTGAGTTCAAACATCGCATGCTTACTCTGACTCACCAGAGAAAAATTGTTTAGGAAGGCCTGGACAAAATTCCTTATGCGTATTTTTGTGAAAGGGAAGTTAGAACTTGAAGTGAAAGTAATGATATTCAAGTTAACATAGAGTAAATGTGTTTAGGCTCCTATTCAGTGGGAAGAGAGGAATGTTACAGCTATCCAAGGACCAGGAGGGAAGTGGATGATACCTCCAGATGCCAAAGAATCCATGGATAAAAACAAAATGGGATTAAAAGGTACTTCAGGGGTTAATACAAAGATATTAAATACTACTGGTTTTATCATGAGTCTGATTTAAAGTCAAAGTCCTTCATCTATAGCACAATAAAATGGCTCATTACAGAGGACAGCCTGTCAGGGAGTCTTCTGTAATCTTAAAACGTCATGAATCATATGGCTTCACTTCAAAGCCATAACTTTGATAGATCTTCTAGCAAATAGGCTAAAGGTGGATATTATGACATACCAACCTTTGGACTCTATGCAGAATGCATTTCTAATGCAGTTCATTGTATGTGATAACCATATCCCTAATGAATAGTATCTTTTTTATATTGTTTTCAAGTGGAAACCTTTTGTAAACTTCCTATTCCATGTAAGGGTCGCAATTTAGCCTTTAAGCAGCTGATTAGTATCACTGTGTAGTACTCTTGATAGCACAGAGTGGCATTTCAGCCTAAGGTTAAATAGAAATTTGGAGATCCCCTAGAGTAAAAGTACCATTTTACGTAGAGTTTCAACTTTAAAATTCGTGGAGAGGTTTATCTTCTCATTCTTTTTTTTTTCCTTTTTTTTTCTTTTCTTTTTCTTTTTTTTTCCCTTCAGGGCCTTTAAAGACCCCAATTGCTGCAGGACACCCATCAATGAATCTGCTTCTGCGTAAAACTTTTGACCTTTATGCAAATGTACGCCCCTGTGTTTCAATTGAAGGGTACAAAACCCCATATACAGATGTGAACATTGTCACAATTCGAGAGAACACAGAAGGCGAATACAGTGGAATAGAGCACGTGGTATGTTGCTGGAAGTACTCCGTTTCTGGTGGGTTTTCTGTGTGTCATGAACGATAACTTTGCCCGTCTCAGTGGCCTAGTACTAAGGTTGAGTGGTGTTATTTTAAGTTTGCTACCCATAGAAAAATTATCTTATTGTGAAATGCATTGTCGAGACTGCCTCACTTAGAATTCTATTACTTTGTTCCAAACGTTCATACTAGTGACTTGAAAAATGAGCTTACACTTTTACTATCAATGCAACTACTGTCTTTCAGATTGTTGAAGGTGTTGTGCAAAGCATCAAGCTGATCACAGAAGAAGCAAGCAAGCGCATTGCAGAATTTGCTTTTGAGTATGCCAGAAATAATCAGAGAAGCCATGTTACTGCTGTGCACAAGGCAAATATTATGTATGTTGACACTTCTTTTTGAGAACAACAACAAACAGTAATATGCATTTAATTATAAATAACTTTTTAAATCTTCCTCAAATGTGTAACTTCTGTTGATGCTAGTGGGAGTAAGTATAATGGGCAATACTGACTCAGTATTGATAGGGCTGTAATAATTATGTACTAATGTTTTTATTAGTACGTTTGTAGTAATCCTGTGACTTTCCTTGCAAAGCTCTTACTTTAAAAATAGTCTAAAACTCAGAAAATGAATTTAAAAACTGAGGATGAAAATGGCTAGTGTCTTTGACAACTTCCAAGCCACTTTGTACTGAACTGAGTCATAACGCATGTGATATTATGTGACACCACCTTTACAAACTCAGTAAGCCTTCAGTAAGTGAATCTGAGTCATTCTGAGAATTAATGTATGCCTGTTAAACTACTGATACAAAAATACTTTAGGAGGAAATGTAAAAGACACAACTTCTCTGACTGTAATATATATAAAATATTATTTATATTTAATACAAATTAAGTTTCT